CACATGGCCAGATTAGGTTAATTTACATGGAAGAGCCAATGCCTGTCTTAGAGAGGTTGATAGATCTCCAACACAGTCCTGTTCATTTCTGGCATCAGTTATGGTATTCTGAAAGCCCTCCACTTTTTTAAATGAGATAATCTATCCTTGATGCTGGTTCCAGAGACCTAAAGACCTAATGGAGAAGCCAATATCCATACTTCTGTTGTAGCTAAGGAAGGCCAGAGTTGTGACAACTTGTGAATGGCAGTCTGTACCTTTTGTAGCTTTCTGGGAATCAGTCTCACACATTCCATTCATTAAATGATTTCTTTAGCGATCACATGAAGGCTGCATGTATTTTTCTGTACAATGCATTGCTAAACCTTAGCTGAATTAAAACACGTATGTGCAATAAAATGTACTGTCTTTTGGAGAGAAATAGGGTCTCTCTTTGTAGTACTGGTTGTCTTGCAACTCACTAACTATGTAGACCAAGCTGGCCTCAAACTCACAGAGATCTGCCTGCCTCTGCCTGGGATTAAAGGTATTTTGCCACCAGCTGAGTGAACATTTTTTTTAAAAGGAACCAAGAAAAGTAAATGTAACCAATGCATATAACTGTAAACATATAACTAATTTATTGATGGATGACACTGAATGAATAGAAACTTCTTCCAGAATCCATCCATTTCTCCTGGCTTCTCTCTTCTCTTCCTTCTCCCCTCTCTTTACAGATAGAGTCTCACTAGTCTGCCTCAGTTTGTGCCTTTGAACACACTCTGGAGTTGCTGCCTTCCTTCCTCCTCTCAGTCTTGAGTTTCCTTCCATGGAAGGGGCTCAACTGATGTGACTTTTTTCTTGTCCTCCTTCATCCTCCTCATCTCTGGTGGAATGTGCTGAAGCCATGGGTGGGTGAATGTAAGACATGGAGTTGGCTTCAGGTAGCCCATCCTTTGTTCTGGGAACTTGTGCTAAGCAACCTAAGCAATGTCTTCCAGATCTCCAGGGACAGCACTGCCCCTCAGCATCCTGTCTCTCAATGGGGCAATCTCCACTATTTTTTATAGGGTTCTTCAACAGGTTCACTTAGTGAATGAACCTAACATACATCTCCAGCCAAACTGTTGGGTTAATCCTCACCCTTTGCTGAAACACTTGTCCACGTCAAAGTCAAATGCTATATTTTCATTCCCTTCAGAGACCCTCTAAATGCAGGCCATCATTCACACCACATTGGCTTTTTTCAATATGTTTACCGTAAGTAATATTTTTACTTCGTTGATAGGTATATTGTTATAAATTACTGAGCTTTTAAAAGTAAGTAATAAACTCTCCATTCTAACACTGCAATTTGATTCTACAATAAATACAAATACAAAATGCACACTTCATTTCTCGTTAGTCTTTAACTCACAGCTTCTATATTATAGCTTGATTTTAATTTGTAGTGCTATTTTGGAGAAATTTAAGCAAGTCTTCTGGAAGGCAGATTTTTCTCTAGGAAAAAATCAATTTGATATTTGCAATTCTGTCAAAGTTACATACTAAAATTTATCTATATAAATCCCTCCCTTACCAGTTACCTTCTCATTCCCATCTCATGGTTTTGGAGGTTGATCCTCCTATGGTAATAGTTGGAGACAGATTAATCATTGACCTAAACAATAGAGAGTAAATTATACCTGTTTCTGTCATCTTCATAATTTAAAGAGAAATGGGTATGATATTTTAATAATTATCTTTTAAGATTTTTTTTTGTTTTTTCGAGACAGGGTTTCTCTGTATTGTTTTGGAGCCTGTCCTGGATTTTTTTTCTAAAAGCTTTTATGGGAGTTATCATCTTGTTCCTTTGTCAGAATTCTTGAAGTTATCTTTTTACAGGTATGTAGAACAAACCATTTGTGAGATGGAAAAAAAACACCTGGGAATATGAGTTCTGTATTAAAAATACTTCTCTCAAAGTAGACCGTTAGTCCATCTGAGAAGCTGGTCCATGTTGAATGCACAATGATGCTGTCATTGTCTAGAAAATTCTGAAGATAGACAAATAAAGGTGACTCTTAGGAAGCACTCACTCTGATTCATATTTTTCTAATTCTTAGCATTGTGTATGGTGTAAGCTGTAAATTCTTCAAACTATCTCAGTTGCATCGGTTTATGTAGGGTTATTTAAACGTGAAGATCTCTACACTAACGTTGTCAAGTTGCCATCAAGAAAACATCTTCTAAATGCTTCCCAACCTGCACATTCTTTGCTCTTGTGGCTTGTTTTTGAAGAGTTCTCAGAAAATGAACTAAAGCCTGTGAAAAAACAGGCATACAAAATCAGATGTGTCAGTGAGTGGCCGGCTCTGATTTCTTATTTTAGTTCTTGGGTTCTTTTTTAAATGTCAGTTGTGGGTTGCTCAAAGACTAAGTTTCAATGATCTATTTCTTTATTGCCATTCCACGGTATTGCTTAGCTCTATCTACATAACTTTAAGGAAGTGGGGGAGGAAAGATTGTAGGGGACAGTGGGGATGAAGAACACCACGAAAACCTGACTAACCAAGAAGGGACAGATGGTTCACAGAGCCTGAGGCAGCACCACAGGGCCTGCACGGCTCTGCACCAGATCTTCTGCAGAGATACTTTGGTTGCTGGCTTGGTGTCTTTGTGGGACTCCTAATGGTGGGAGCTGGTGTATCTCTGTCACTTTTGCCTGATCTTGTGACTCTTTTCCTCAATAGTCTTTGCATTCTGTTATTTGGAAGCTAAGATTCTTAGTGTTCCCTGCCCCCCAATGGAGTTAGGAGTTTAGCAATGGTTACAAAGGGCTACACCCTATAGGAATATTTAAACAGCGAAAAATGTAACTTAAAATTCAGGTTTCCTAGGAAGATAACAGCCCCTCGTGGAATCACATGTGGACACTGCCCATTAAAGGTCTAGTCTGCATTGAGAATGTGTTACACCTTGAGAGTGCATTCAAAGGACTTGCACAAAGTATATAATGGGAACTCATTAAGTATGCATTTTGGTTTTGTTTTATTTCCCTTTCTTGTTGTCCTTTTAAAATGTTATAGTATTCTTACATTTGCTTACATATGTACATGTATACATTATAGACTGGGATATGATTTTGGAGAACATGCTTTTTTTCATTCTGAGATTGGGCTTCCTCAGTTAATATTATACATTCTAAGGTTATCACTTTTTTCCTGAAAATTTTGTGCTTTCACTTTTCTTCAGAGCTGAATAATATTCCATTTTTTATATGTACCAGATTTTCAACATCCATTCATCTAGTTTGGTTCCATTTACTTGATCTAATGAGTACAGCAAGAATAAACATAGGAATTGAAATATCTCCATGGTGAGGTATATAATTCCCTTGGTGAACACACAGGGTAGCAGGGTAGCAGGGGCATATGGTGGTTCTATTTTTAATGTATTGAGAAAACTCCAAACCTATTTCCCTACTGACTGTATTAATTTACACCTCACACCATCGGTGAGTGAAGGTTCCTCTCCCAACATACCCTCTCCAAAATTTATTGTTAGCCTGTTTATTGATCTGTAGTTTTATTTCCTTGGCACTTAATTTCTACAGTTCTTTGTGTCTGAGGTGTAGTTGGTAAAGGTTTTCTCCCATCCATGGGCTGTGTGCTTTGCTGATTGTTCCCTTTGCTATGCACTCACGTTTTAGTTTTCTGGAGCCATACTAGTTGGTTCTCCAGACTGACCTATGCTAGTAACGTTCTGTTTAGAAATTTCTTGCTGACACCATTGTTTTGAAGAACATTTCCAACATTTTATCTAGAAGTAGTATTTCAGATTTAAAATTGAGGTCTTTGATCCACTTTGAATCAATTCAATTGTTTATTTTGTCAACTCTATTTGATAGGCAGAGCAACAGAATGGTCAAGAGTACACAGTAGATTCAACATGTGGTCTACATTAGTACTCTGCCACTCACTGGCTGTGTGACCTTGTGAAGTGACGATAATGAGATGCCCATCTCCTAGAGCTAATTTTTCATGTGAAAAATTCAGGATATTAAGTTGCCAATAACACTTTTTAGTTACCCTATATTCTATATTTTCCTAAATTATTTACGGCAATTATTTGGAATTTCCTGCAACTGTTCTTTCATGTGTTGCCAGGTGCATATATACGTGTGTATTTTCTTTGAAACTAACAAGTTTTGCTAAGTCTTTTTCTTAATTCTTAATTTTTTGATAATCAATTTGGCCACTCTTAGCAGTCTTCTCTCTTATTAAACTGCTGGGTTAACTGGTATGTATTACTTCCAATCAATTATTTTTTGGTTTTCAGAATTTATCTTTGACATATGTCATGAAGGCAGAGACCTTGGTTCTGGATATTTTAATGTGATAGAGCTGAAGGTTGCTCTTCTGTCACAAGCAATAGGAAACACAAGTGACAGTCTGCAGCTGGTTGTGCACCCTTGGCACTTCTTGGTTCAGGTTCTAATGCTCAGTTTCTCACACAGTTGCCATGATTCAGCCTTTCCCAGATCTTCACTCCACACATATTACATTGGTGGAAACTGTTGTCAGGTAGATAGCAAATCCTGGAGTGTGAAATAAATATGGCTGTTCAGAAAGCATTCCCTTGGAAAGCTTCAACTCTCTAAGTTTTATATTTCTTTTAAAAACAATATGAAGAGAGTGTGTGAGACAGTTATCCTTAGACATATCATGGAGCTATGCCTGTGGCTTAAAATTCCAACTAATAGCTGGGTACCCCAGGTCAAATCTCTTTGAATTGAAAAATTTTGGGTCCTTAATAATTGTGTACAATAAATTTATGTGAGACTCAGAGAGTGTTCAAGAAATGGCATCCATGAACCTTTAGTTTAGAAGCACCTCCCTCTTATCTCAGATTCTGTATTTAAACTTGTGGAGTGGGTAATTCTTAGTCTCAATACAAAGAAGTTCAAATTACTAAATTTCTATTAATGTCTTGAAGAGTAGCGTAATTTTGTTGTCATATTACCTTCTTTTGTCTTTCAGCTGAATTTTATTCTGTTCCTGAATACAGTTAGAGTTCTTGCTACCAAAATCTGGGAGACCAATGCTGTTGGGCATGACATGAGAAAGCAGTACAGGTAATACAGAGCACCTCCATCAGAGGAAATATTTTGTTTGTTGTTTATTATAAACACCAGGTAGTCTGAAGTGTCTCCAGGGGATTGCTCTATGAATGTGTGTTTTTGTTTCATTCACTTATACTATTTGTTGGAAGAAAGTATCTATAGTTAAGATACTTTATATTATTGTGTCTGGATTCTCTATGTATTTTGTCTGTTCTTAGCAGGCTAATTTTCTATAAATTGTGAATTCACACAAAATCTTTTGGTGATTATTTTAAAAATATGTCCTTATGAAAATAATCAAGTAGGTGTATTTATTGTATTGCATCCAAACCTTTGGTGAATTGATACCTATCAAATACAAATTTTAACAACTTTTCAAACACACTGATGGGAGGAATTCCTTTTTTTTGTAATGTGTACTCTTCCCACTAGCTTCCTGGGTTCTGCAGCTGTCTCAGTCCCCAAATAACACACGAAACACTATTTTAATTATGAAGCTGTTGGCCGTTTGCTTGGTTTCTTATTGGCTGGCTCTGACTTAATTATTAACGCATAAGTGCTAATCTGAGTATTTACATGTGGTCTTCTCTTACCAGAGAAAGGGTCTGGACCTCTTACTCCTCTGGTGTCCTACATCATGACTGACTGTGCCTCTGTTTCCCAGAATCCTCCTAGACTCCTAGTCCCACCTATCTTGCTTCCCTATTGACCAACAGTGCTTTATTTAATCAACCAATAAGACAACATATACACAGAAGTACTTCCCCCATCAGTCTTTCATGAAGAAAAGGACAAATTGAGTGTCTATAATCACTATGAATCCATTTCAAGGTAGGGTCCATTCTTTTCAGCAGTCATTTTTGTAATTCTGAGTAATAATGGCCTCTATCCAATTGAATTAACACATATAATAATCAGGTAGTAGACTAGATTTTATATCCATTATAGGGGTAACAGTACAGAAATGAACAAATCATGTTCGGCTTTTGGTTTTATTTCATGAATTTTCTCCAAATTCTTTGCTGATTCCTTCCCCTCTAAAGTGCAGTTAGCTTTTTTCTGTCTAGCAGCAAAGACTGAAGCAATGACTGGGATTCTCTTAGGATGCAGAGTGTGAACAAACCTGCAGCTTTCAACTCCAACTATGTTCCTCAAGTTGCAGTGGTAGTGTTGTGATATACATAGTTTTCTCATGTTGTAGTCCATCAGTGAAGACATAAACCAAGAATTATGGCACTGTGGTGGGTATAAATAACCTTTCATTCTTCTTCATAAAATGAAAAGGTGTGATGTTATTTGTAAATTGTGCATATTTTTGGTTCTGAATGTAGGATGCTTTTTGTATTTTCAGTTTAGTGCTCTGTTTCAGAAACCCCAGATTACCAAGCCTTACTCCTGAAGAAGACTTGGCAAGATGAAATTTGTATTCTTGTCCTAGTGTTAGTTAGTCCTAACTTCAGAGTATACTACTTAAATGTGTATGTCTTTGTCAGTGTTTTATTGCTGTGAAGAAACATTGTGACCACGGTAACTCTTAAAAAGGAAAACACTAGGGATGGCTTACTGTTCAGGGGTTTAGCCAATTTTTTGTTGTGGTGAGAAGCATGATGTCATGCAGGCAGATAAGATACTGGAGATAGCTGAGAGTTCTCTATCTGGATTCATAGGCAGAAGAAAGACATTGTGAATCACTGGGCCTTGCTTGAGCTTCTGAAACTCAAAACCCACTTTCCAGTGACATACTTCCTCTAACAAGGCCACAACTACTCCAACAAGGCCACACTCCCTAAGAGTCTATGGGGGCTATTTTTATTAAAACCACTTATATTCTGCTCCCTGGCCCCCATAGGCTTGTAGTCATATAATTCAAAAAAGTTCAACTTACAAAGTCTCCACAGTCTTTAACAGTCTCAACCATGTTTAAAAAGTCCAAAGTCTCTTTAGAGACTCATGGCAATCTCGTAAATGTTAGACCTTGTAAAATCTAAATGAAAAAGCAGATCACATACTTCCAACATATAATGGCACAGGGTGTACATTAACATTTGTAGAGAGAAGCCTTTTCCTTGCCAGCTGCTTTGGTTTTTCCCCACCAGCAGTCTGGGCTCTGCCGCATTGTAGTCCCCAAATAACACACAAGATGCTGTATTAATTATGAAGCTGTTGGCTTTGCTTGTTTCTTACTGGCTAGCTCTGACTTAAGTATTTACCCTATAATTTTTAATCTAAGTATTTCTCTTACCGGAGAAAAGTTCTGAACTTCTTACCCCTATGGCAACTACATCTTGACTCCCTATGTTTCTCCTACCCAGAGTCCTCCTTGACTCCTAGTCCCACCTATCTTGCTTCCCTATTGGCCAACAGTGCTTTATTGACATATACACAGGACTTCCCCATCAACCATTCCAAAAGGGAAGAAAGGAAGCATAGTGAGGAAATACTGGACCAAAGCAAGACTGAAAACCAGCTCGACAAACACCAAACTCTGAATCTCTACCTCTGATGTCAAAATGCCCTTCAGATCTCAAACTCCTTTGAGTTTTGTTGACTGCAACACACTTCTTTTTTTTTTGGCCGGTTCCAGTGCCTGTTATCAGGTCTCCTTGGCAGGTATCCCACAGCTCTGGCATCTCTAACATGTTGAGATGTCCATGGTAATCATATTTACATCTTCATTCAATGGCAGAACCCTTCTAGGAGTAGAAGTGGTGTTACTTATATTGATGAATTATATTGAGTGGATTTGTCCTGGAACAAGACTAATTTATGTAACAGAACCAGAGAGGTTAAGTGGGGACTGGATGGGTGCACATCCACAGGATCAGGGAGGACATCAAGAGGCAGAGTAGGAGCTGGGCTGTTGTCTTCATTATGAGATTGTTTGAAACACCAAATTTCAGAGGCTTTTCTGGGTCATCTCTCATGTTTCACAGCAGTCTCTGAGTGGATGTGGGGTTATTCACAACTTGGCATCTGCAACTTAAAGCAATTTTCTATGCAGTGTCTGGCTAATCTTTCAAGAACCCCAAAATTCCATTGTGAGCACATACTTCCTAGTTCCAGACACCTTTAGTGGGCTGAATGGCCCAGGAGAAGCAACCTCTCTGGACTAACTGGAGTCTTGGTGAAGGAGATCTCATTGGGGCCTCCAGAAATGTTGCTGGAATCTTTCTAGTATAAGCACTGTGATGCCAATGAAAGTGAAAGAAAGCCAGGACACCTCCTGAAAGTCGTTGATCCCAGGTCCAGTTGGCATTCATATTTTATGCTCTAAAACCACGAGGTAGGGTGAGAAAGCAAGTAAGATTTTATAGTAACATATGTGGCAGTCAGCAGGTTGTTAAGGGAGACAACCCAGTTTCATCTATTCCTTCAGGTCATTCTGTTCCAGGTAGCAAGTGAAGTTATGCTTGGAAAACAAGCAGTTTACACAGGTGCTTTAAGTAAGTCACTAAATAAACCAATATCCAGTAATTGATCTTTTATGCCTTATTCTAATTTACTTTAACAATCAAGATAAGTTGACAGAACTTGGAAAATACAACATGTGAAAGGATTCAAGGAAGGGAACACTTAAATGTTTCCTCTAACTGAACTTGTCATTCAGTATGATGTTAAATACATCATTATAATTTTTGCTTAACAAATATATTTAATGTTTAGGATAAAAGCAACATAGTATGGCAGCAAAGCAGATAGATTTAAACATGAATAGTCACTTAAGGTATAATTTTGAATGGGTATTTTCCTTCTTTGAACTTCTATCCTCAGCTGGAAATGAATAATATACTTTCTCTTACAAGAAATGAGGCCACTCCAGAATGTTTCAGTAGCATGTTACAAGATAGCTAACAGTTACATTTGCTACATTAACCTCTTCTAAGGAAGGAGAGAGGAAGAAAGGCAGAGAGAGAAAGTGACTGAGGTCTTATAAAATCTTTTTCTTTAAGTGAGGAAAGTACATGCAGAAATGTATAAATACATAAAACTGTATTTGTTATCAAAACCATGTATGTCTGGAATTGTAAAGTTGTTAAATGGCAGAATGTATTGGCAACTTCTGTGCATTTGATTTAAGTACCAACTTCCTTCCTGTATACTATAAGGTTTATATACAAGCAGAGTGGACAATTAAAGAGGAGAAACCTGCAAAATAACAGCAGCAACAACAACTCTAGTTGCAAATAAATAAATAAATTTAGAATAAAAATAAAACAAAATAAAAATCTATTTGCATAGACATGAGAGAAAGCTTCATATAAGTCCAGGAGGGACCAAGAAAGGATTAAGATAAACAGGGTCTCTGAGCCTGTCCTCTTTAGTTTTAGCTAAACATGCTTTGCCAAAGAATACTAGAGGTATCTTCTATACAAATTTATCTGGAGAACGATGTGGAATATGTAATGTGAGAGCTGGGCATCTATTTTCTAAATTGGACACCATGTTCCTAAACCACTTGACTCCTTTGCTTTTCTCTTGTATCCAAAACCATCACCATACTCCCAGCAAGCCAGAAGACCCATGTCGGCTGCTACATTCCCAGATCATCTCTCCTTTGCATTTCTCTGGTACCTGGAACCATCACTATACTCCCAGCTAGCCAGAAGACCCATATCAGTTGCTACATGCCCAGATCATCTCATCAGACAGATGTATCTACATTGAAGGCTAAGCCCTAAAACCATACTGTGTGTGTGTTAGACCATATGAACACTAATAAGCACTAGTGCACAGAATTGCTAGTGCCTAACCTGCTATGAATAGACCTAATGACCTATGTGCATATTTGCTAGTCATATGCTCTGCAGGATAAATTCTAAAGGAGGATGTAATCATAGCTAATATATAAACATGAACACAGTTCCAACATTTTATTTAATTCTATAATTAACGAGTGAGGTGATGAAACCTTTTACTAGGTTCAAAAGAGGATATATAGTTAGGAAATGCATGCTGGAATGAGTTTATAAATGGATGCAAACTGCAAAACTTGTTAATGCTTACAGGGCTAC